GGATATCATAAGAAATTGCGAAGCTTGAAACGAGGCTGCTCACCTGTTCTGCAGCATAGACAGCTTTACTGCATCTAGGACATATCGGTGTACCGCCAAACGGGTGCATGGTAACTATATGATTGACTTGTACCTGATCAAGCTTGAGCCTCAGATTAGTGCAAGTTTTAAAGATCGACGTCGTCGCTTATGCGCGACTATGATGTACTTTGGAGGAATAACGGGAAACATCCATCGGAGATTGAAAGCCATATCGCTTTTTTGCTACAGGCCAAATCTTTCGTCTATCACCATCTCCTTCTCATCCAGTTCATAGATTTTTTTGTTTTCTCTTCTTATTCCGCCATCATGTCTGACGATGAGCAACACAACCAGCAGTTCGAGCAGGTCCGCCTCTTTTTTCTACAATGCTTCGCGATCATGCTAGACAACTGATCTCGCGATTAATCATTAGGCTAGCGCAGGTGCCTCGCTCACTTTCCCTATGCAATGTTCTGCGCTCCGCAAAAACGGTCACGTTGTCATAAAAGGTGCGTTAGACTGTATCTCCCTGCATGGCCGGCCCGACAACTTCATTTCAGGCCGTCCCTGCAAGATCGTTGAGATGTCCACCTCTAAGACCGGGAAACACGGTCACGCGAAGGTCCATCTCGTCGGTGTCGACGTGCGTCTATGTTCCACTAAACCTACGAATTGCTACTTCAATTTTCGATCATACAGATTTTCACTGATAAAAAGATGGTAAAGTATCAGTAATTGGCTTGGTCATGAGCGCTACTGCTTACGGCTCCCGTATCGTCCTTTTTATAGGAAGATATTTCCCCTTCCACCCACAACATGGACGTTCCCAACGTGAACCGTAATGAGTACCAGCTCGTGAGTGTACTGTTTACCATCGTCTCCTGTGGTCACTCAAACCCGCAGTAGCTCGGTGTCGATGACGGCTTCCTCAATCTCATGAACACTGATGGAGGTACCAAGGATGATGTTAAGCTTCCTGACGGCAAGCTTGGTGAAGACATCTTAGCTGGCTTCGAGGTCGCAGAAACCGTCATGGTCACGGTCACTGCTGCGATGGGCGAGGAACAAGTACGTTCATCATGCCCCCCTTGCAATGTTCGATTTTTAATACGCGTCCCAGGTTACGTCTTTCAAGGTCACCAATTAGTAAACGTATGTAATTGCTTTGACCATATGCTCGGTTGGCAATTTTCACGCAGCTTGTTATCAAGGTCTTTCGTTTCTGATTGCCGTACACGTCCTGTCATTTTTCTGTCACGTCGGCTATTCTTACTTTCAGTCAATATCTGCGCATGTACTTTTCATCAAGGCATTGTACTGAATGTACATCAGTATGACTAGGTTCAGGTGTTGGAATAAAGAATTATGTATTTCATGTTGTAGACAGGAGGCATTTATGGAGGAGATCGTAGTCTCTCATTAGTTCCGAGTTATTTTTCAGTCATCAGAGTGATTGCCCTTCACATAAGAGTTAGCTAGTTATATACCCACACCGTACAGGCTTCGGACCGCCGTAACATCTAGCAGAACTAAATTGTTCTTTCCCCCTAATTATCAGCAACGTGGCAACATTCTATCTGCTATGCATGACCTTATGTGAGGCAGACTGACCACCCTACCACGAAGTCTCCAGTCGGATTTTCTGTGTGCCGCAGTAATATCTGCCCGTGGAAATCGTAGCACAGGCTGCACAGCAAGCCAATATCTACTGCACAACTTATCATTTATTTCTTTTAAATTATTTATAGGTTGTTTGGTTGAGCATCATCCTACATTTGAAAGTGCACAGGACTTCGCTATTTTGATTTCCTTACCTTGGACAGTGACCACATCAAGTACTACTACCCACACGGACAATCTCCCGACTCACTAACTAATTCTTGAACATGTCCAGCTCTAAGGAAAACCCAGATTCCGACCTCTACGGAGGTGAGCATTATTTCGTGTCGTTGGCTCTAGGGCAACAACTTGCGTTACACAGACCTGTACGACGACGAGTTTACTGTTCCACTGGATGATGAGGCCTCCCCTACTACCGAGCTCCTCCGCAAGCAGACAAAAATCTTGAACCTGTAAAGATGGAGAGTTCAACACCAAGCACGTCGGCGTCGTCGCTACCTGCTAAACCTCAGTCTTCAAAAAGCGACTATGCTTTGTCATATTCAGCCCAAGTTGCAAAACAGTTCTCTGCGTATCAACAGACACCGAGTCAGGAGCGTATACAGAAACCACCTTTACCCCTCCCACCAAATCCGAGCCCACAAGGTGGACCTTCGGCAATTGCAACACACGAGGGACCGACCGACAACCATGCAGACAGGCCTATCCGACCTTCAGAAATGAAAGATGAAGGGTAAGTGCACGCTTGCTACATGTATGGTTATTTCGTCCCTGTATGCTCCTTGGGGCGAAGCACTTCTAGACTCAGTTTCCGTTATGTCCTGCAATAGTTTACTCTTGTCGTTCTTTCATTAAAGATGAACGAACGAGAGCCTGACAGTTACAGTACATGCCGCTGCACTGCTACTACTGCTTACAGAGGAGCTTACTATCTGCACCTACACTCTGCGCATTCGCCTATGCTTCCGTCTTTCATACTCTCATGGCTACTTGTTATAATTGGTTACTAATCACTTATATCTTTCTGGATACTTCCGTGGACCCATCGACACGCTCTACTCTTACTACATGCCTTGCCTCACCTACGGATCCTTGCCTCACTTACGGTCGTCACCTCCGATAGCAAAATGTTTGTTGGAGGCCTTAACTGGGACACTACAGATGGTATACACCCATGCAATGGCAATCAACTTTCATCTACTGACTACTATCCTATGTTGTTCTTCCTATGAGCAGAGGGTCTAAGGACGTATTTTTCGCAGTTTGGCAAGGTAATTTATCTTTGGACTTTAAGCTGTCAATGGATGTCATGCTCGGGTTATGATGCTGACGAGCGCTTAAGGTGGATGCTTGTACGATTATGCGCGACCCGGATGGGCGCTCAAGGGGTTTCGCTTTCTTGACTTTCGATGAACCGGAAAGCGTGAATGCTGTTACTGGAAGGGAGCATATTTTGGACGGGAAAGCTGTCGGTGTTAATCTTGTAAATTTTTTAATCCTACTAATGTGTCAATAGATCGACCCCAAACGCGCGATTCCCGAGAAGAGCACCTGAGGAACACGCGGTACTTTGTTGGTGGTCTCGCTCCCACTACCAACGCAGACACAATGCGCGAGTTTTTTTCGCGGTTCGGCAAGGTTGTCGATGCAACAGTCATGGTCGATCGCGAGTCGGGCCGTTCCAAAGGCTTTGGCTTCGTCACTTTTGAGGACTCAAATAACTCTGATGAGTTCGTGGGGAAACTCGGGTTGATGTTGGATGATAAGCAGGTACGCATGGATGCATTTACCATATTCTCCTCTCAACATGTCGGTTCGATAGATTGAAGTGAAAGCTGCTCAACCTCGAAGCCAGCGCGATCAAGCGCGAAACATGCAACAAGGCAACCGCGAGCCCTATTTCAACGACTCGGATTCACGCACACCCAACACGTCCGCAATGACTTTCCCGCAACAGGCTAACTCCGCAGCCACTAACATGCTTTATCAACGTGTGATGAGTCATATGCCCATGATGGGAGCAACGAACATGGGCATGATGAATCCCATGATGATGGGCATGGGCATGAGCGGTATGGGTGGCATGAATGGTATGGGCGGCATGGGTGGTATGGCGGGTATGGGTGGCATGGGCGGCATGGGGATGAACATGATGAGCGGTTTGAGTCCAATGGGTGGTATGGGTATGAATGCCATGCGGATGGGAATGCCAGGGATGATGATGAACGCTACGGGCGCAGGTGCAGGAATGGGGATGAATAACATGGGGATGCGTATGCGACAGGGCATGACAGGTGCCGTTACCCCGAATGCAAATGCAGGGCGCATGACGATGAACCAGGGACTAGGTCCATCGAGAATGTCGAGTCGTGGACAGCATTCATTCCATCCATATGCACGATAGTTTTTATTTGCTTTGCACCTGCTGATCTGTACCATATATCACCACTAGTTATTTAACCATGCACAATGAGTGCGTGACGAACTTCTTTTTGAATCGCGCTGTCCATTCACGTTCCCAACTCCGTAGGAGGGCTCTTGTCGAACACGATCGCTTTCTCATCTGTTACACCACGTCTGGGCCTTTCCGTTTACAGTCATGACACCTTGGTTTATTTTTTAGGGGTTTCAAGTCGTTATTCAGTTCTCGCTGAGCGCCTTTTTTCCGTCATATGCATGATTCGGTAGGTCAGTGTGTTGAACTTGTCGTTATGGGTGTTCGCGTTGACCTCTCTATTAACACCCCTGTCTGGTGCCTGGGTCTTATCTCGGCAATTGAAAGTAAATACCTCGGTATACTCGTAAGAGCACACGCAACATACACACATCAGAACAACATAGCTCGGTCTGCCAATTGAAAGTCTTTCACCTTTAGCTTCAAGTCATCCTCGGTCGCATTGGGAGAGCCAATGACCGAAGGAGTGTTCATCCATGAAGCTTCAGCCAGGCTGGGGAGGCTAGATCATTTCCGGACTGTCAGACTCACTCCTTAGCCTGCGTGCATTCTTCTGGCCTCCGGCATCATGATCATTTACATTTTTGTCTGCTGGTGAATCCCGCCAGTTCTGGTCAGTCTGTCGAGAATCTAGGGTTGTACGTATGCACCTCGGTGTTATATCTAGTGTGTCTGAGACGATTCCTTCTCATAGACAGACATCACATAAAAAGAAGTTTCAGTGCAATGACGGACCAGGGCCAGTTACTATACAGCGCAAAAATGTTGTCAGCAGGTTTTGGACCAACTCCAGGAAACAGATTTTGACTCTGTTTGTGGTAACCACTTGGTTAGGACCAATTAGACATACCTACCAGGAAACCAATCATGAGACAAGGCATGTTTTAATATAACAAAAAACAGGTTGTTCGGCAGGTTTCGAACTTGCGCAATGCAACAAGAACAGATTTTGATTCTGCTGTGGTACCACTTGACTCAAAACAGTCAAGACGAGCCCTGAAGAAATCATCCGTGAGTGAATGTCATTGACCTCAAGGTGTGTCCTGATAGAATAAAAACATACAGGTGTCGAACCTGCGCAGTACAAGATACACAGATTTTGCCTGTCGCGGTAACCACCTACAAAGCGGCCAGAACAAAGTTAAGATGGCACTCTGATGAAACCGTCCATGGGTGAATATGTCAAGGTATATTCCGATAGAAAAAGACCATGTTGTCGGCAGGTGTCAAACCTGCGCAGTTCAGAGCAGTTGATACAGTACGTCCAAGCAACAGTACCCATGGGACCCATGCTCAACTTGAAGTCTTGAAGATCTCTTGAGAGCACTCAACGCTTCGGAGGATGTGCCGATGGTCTCCGCACGGGAGACAAATTTAAAGCCCGTTTTTCAAGCAGTTGATGCGGGCATGCCAATTAACATCACAAATGACAAGGGTGTATCCGAGTCATCGACATCCCAGCCCCCTGAAAGACGACGCATTCATTTAGGAAACACGACGTTGATGCTCGCAGCGTGCACAGACCGCAGGGGATTGGCTGAAGGACTTTTGCAACAGAAATCAAATCCAAACAGGCTCAACAGTCTTGGTCGATCTGGCGCTGTGTTTAAGTCGCACGATGAGGTTGTGTGTATCCTGGGCAAAACTGCCAGTGGCGCAGATCCGAGAATAGGTAAACCCACTGCAATAGAGGCAGTTCGTATATTTGATTGAAAGGAGTTGATGAAAGTACTGGGTGCAAAGCAGGGTGACATCGACATTGATGTGCCCATCCCTCCTAGTGCACGTTTCGATAGATAACCTGTGCTGCCTATCCAAGCCGATCGTGGCAGGTCATGGATATTAGGTATGAGAATAGAACAACACTTGTAAAGCAGATGAAAGCTTCCATTGCTAAATCGCTCCCATCTCCTTCCCGAGAACCTGTAATGCCTTCCTTGCAAGTGTTCTTGCATCTACCTCCATTACATCGCCACCCTCTTCCAGAGCACCGATATGAGGCTGCAGAAAACTGCCTCCTGCCTCCTTCTCGGGTGGCGAGGAATTCGTGAACACCCATGCCGATGGTGTCTTCCGAGGGATAGAGGCAATATCACATAACACCGAATAGAAATAGAAGAGATGAGCAACTGGTGACCGTTTCACCACATCTGCAATGAGTGCAGATGGTGAAAGAGTGACGTCGACAGCTGAGCAGACGTTCAGCGTAAATCAGATCACAGAGCAAGGGAACAGGTACCGGGTTGAGAAATACTAAACTTCGATGGCGACTCCGACAGTGCAGCCCACAGATTTCCTGACCAAAGCCGCAAATCTAGGACCTTGCGAAGTACATACAACAGTTCATCTTCACGAGCCCTGTCAAAGTTGATCCAGCAACAGACAATAATGCAACACGATCACAATTCACCTTGTGAAAGGCAAATGACCCCGAAGAGCCTCATCAGCAACATAGCTCACCATTGTAATTTTGCATCGATCAAGCAAGGTCGGTAGACAAAGTGCAGCAACTCGCTTCCTTGAAGACTCTTGATCTAGGAGAATAATTAGCTCCATAAAGACGCGCAGATGGATTGGGTTACCGCTTGTAACATTAGAGCATATCAAGAACAAAAGATCAAAACACCAAAAGGAAAATCGCTCCCTCGGGACCAGGACCTCAGGTGTAGTTGATCCGATGTTAAGGTCCACCCTCTCGAAGTCATGTGAGTCCCGAGAGTCGTCTGACACATTCGCGGTATCTGTCGAGGGCGAATCAGGGCGTGAGGGACCCATACTTGACTTGTACAGCTGGCTGCCTTTGTGCAAAATCTTCGCCAACTGTGTGATGAGGTGATCAGGGACTCTTGTGTCTCCCAAATGTGGCACAAGATCAATCTCCAATGAGCTGATGAGAGAGAGATCGAAGCTTTCCTCCACTTCCTGATCTTCGAGTGAAAGACCCTCTATCGCGGTGCTGCAAACAAGTTAGTCGTTGGGTGTGATAAAACGATAAAATGAGAAGAATAAAACGCGCACCAGTCAGCCAAAATGCCGCCCCGAAATACTTCAATGATTTGTCGCCATATGCTCTCAACCTGAGTATCGGATATACCTGTACTTTATGATTAGATGAAGTTGACCAGATCATTGACTATGTACGATCGCCGAATGCCGCCATTCTTCTGACCGAGTCAGTGACTATACAGAGAAAACTTGTTGTCGCGGTCTTCCACAGAGGATCTTTGCCGAACTTTGATAGAGCAGGACACTCGTACTTTAGCTTTATGGGTATTGAATAGGCCTGAACACAAAAGCACATGAGTTCCGAAGACCAAGGTCATCATCAACGAACAATACACACCGAGAAGACAGCTTCCAAAGTCCCATCTTCATAGATTTCGAGCTCATCCTTGAAGCGCATGTACAACTCAACGATAAGTGACATGACCTTTTTGGACAACGCAATGTACGTATTTTGTTTTTGAGACGGTGCCGTAATAGGCGTTCCCAAGGCGGGAGACAAGATGGGCGTATGAAAAGCAGTCAGAAACGGAAGTGTGCTGAATTCCGATAGATATCGTAAGATGAGAGATGGAACACCAGGTCCCGTAAGGCTAATATCCGCGATGGCGTTCAAGACCACTACCTGCCATATCAATGAGACAATGGTGTCCGGTAAATACCCAACATTCACCAACCTGAACGGGTGATAAATCATCAACATCCGGGTAGTAGTCTGTCGAGTTAGGATAAGTAACGACGCCTGTGAATGGTTTAGGAAGAGGGATAGCGACAAAAACAAAGAGGCGTACCCTTGAGGATTTCCATCAGACGACTGAGGCGCTGAAGCGGCCATTCGTTCGTCTGGGTCAAACTAATGGAACGTGTGCTCCTTATGACATCGACAAGAGCAACCAAACTCTCCTGAGTAAATGCACGGTGGAGTTGTGTCCTATTCGTACTCAGAGAGAGCTGAGATCTCCCACCCAGGAGAACCATGCCCCCCATATCACTGCATGCCTTCCATACGCATTCCCAAGCCTCAGACACTTTGGCTTGCAGAGAGGCGTCTGAGCCAGAAAGCGCTTTCACCGCTTTCCCCAAACAAAGCAATGCAGGCAAACTCAAGTTTCGGCGGTCCAAGGATACAGTTTCGTGAACGTGGGTGACAAGCGTGCACCATACTTTCGAGAAGGAGTCCAGATGCATGATCTTGATGACTAGGAACTCGCTGATAATTGAACCAATCGACTGCAATGCGAGACTCTGCGATTCGTCCCATACATCTTCGGGAGACTGCGCTGCCAGACCAGAGTTCAGCAGAGCTCCGGGCTCAAAGGCACTGCACCAGGTTTTGATAGATATCGCGTCGAGTAGTGGGAATATGATCTTCCATATACAGTCATTCCACGCATTCAGAGTAAGCGTGGCGCCGTAAAGTCGCATTGCATGAAAAAGGATCTGGATAGCGCCAACACGAACTTCGTGTCTAGCGTCAGTACATAGATCCAAAATTTCCAGCAGACACATCCATAACGCGCTATATTCCAGTTCCATCTCTGCATCCTTCTGCTTTGCCTGGATCGAACCTAACACACTCCAAAGAAGGCTTTCTATAGCCGCACGTGCAATGATCGTGTCAGCTTGTCGACCGAATTGTCCGAGGGTTTTGATGCAAAGCCGCAAGTCTTCAGGGGATAACACAGACACGGAGTCGCAGATAAGTTTGAGGGACTGGAAGGCGATCTTCACTAGTGCTGTGTAGCCGCAGTCATCAGCGTACACTAGAGGCAGTGATTTTTGACAAGGCGTCTCTTGAAGCGATAACGTACTGATGGAATCGACCGACTGACGTCTGAAGAGAGCCGCGGGTATACAGTTGCTCCCTAGCATCTCAAAAACGCTAACCCACTCGACGACAAAAGTAGGTCCGGACGCCTGTAGAATTTGGTACAGGGTCTCCAATCCCATTCGCCGGAGTTCAATATGTGTGCTTGTCCCTGGGATGTCGGATGATGCGGGTACTATCTGTTTATATAGAATGTCGAAAATGCGACGCTGAACTTTTGCCTGTAGGTCTCCAGTGGATGACAAGTTACGCGGGACCGCGATAATGATTTCATCAAGGACGCGTGCTGCCTGCACTCGTATTGACTGCGGCGCTGAGGAGAGACCTATGATCCATAGAAGATGATTTGTAGTAGTGTTCCATGCAACCTCAGGTGCACAATAGATGAGGCGATGAAAGTTTAGCATTGCTACTGAACCCAGTCGCTCCACACAGAAATCGCTCTGACGCTGAGAAGATATTAGATCATATTATGGCGTAAGAGGATCAACCCACCGGCGTGCGTGGCAAATGAATGCCGCTAACGCGCCTTCTGTGAGGAGAAACCGGTACAGAACTCGAGAAATCATCCGACTCCATCAGCATGTTCCCATCAGATTGCATCCCGACCATCTCCGAGCTAAGTTTACAGAGCGCAGTGACAAAGTCCTGAAAAGCTGAATCCTCCAGGTTTTTGGACGCATCAAAGAGGCGCTGCATGGCAGCAAGCATGCTCCCTGAATCGATATCTATGAGGGAGTGACGAGCCATTTTCCCCTGTTTAGTAGAACTCATCGCTGAAACGGATCGGCTGGATGTCATGGGTGTGTTCATCCGCCGGTTGGCAGATCCTTGCGACACTTTGACGTTCAAGACATAGTCTGCGTTCTGTACAGCTTCCAGAATGCTATACCAGCTCTCTCCCAGGCTCCCGGCGAGGAAAAGGGCACTAGATACCAACACTTTGAGACATGCTAGATTGCGCTCGGAAAGTCCTGGAGCGTGGATAGGTGCTGTTAGCCCCAGGTTATCTGTGAAAGAAGTTGACGTTTGGGGCGTCGGAGGTTCGACGTAAGACTCCAAGCTGGACACTATTCGGGAAGGTAGCGCAAATTTGGAAAGCGAGTTGAACAACGCATCGCGAGCAGTGCTAAGGGCGAGCATCCCCGCAAC